GAGGCATTGCCCGTCCAGGCCATAGCAGTTGGTTCTCTTTCCTGATTTACATCATCCCCTGAATATCAGTGACGAGGCAGAGTTGGAGGCTTGTCAGGGGAACACTGCTTCTAATTAGGGCAGGGCTAGATATGGTGAGATCCCAGGAGGCACTCACCTTCTGGAGACGTGGGCACTTCTAAACAGGCTGGGGTTGACCTTCCTATAGAGCTTTACTTGGGCTTGTAGATGAAGGATGAGAGGCTAGTGTTTTATGCTGGCTGAAGTCATGCGTGTATGTGTGTGGATGGATGTGATAGGCGAGAGAAAGAGAGGAGAGACAGAGATGCAGAGACAGCTAGAGAGAGGAGAGGAGAAACAGAGAAAGAGGAAAAGAAGCGAGAGTGAGAGAGAGCAAGAGAGAGGAAAGAGAGACAGAGACAGCTAGAGAGAGGAGGGACAGAGACAGAGAGAGAGGTTGTGAGAGGGTGGGGAACTGGCCAGGGAGGCAGCTGAGATCGTCATTTTAAAATAGGACAAGAAATTGTGGCTTAGCAAAGTAAAAGGTGGCTAAATTATTCATGGTCTAATGTTATTTTTACTGATTTTTCAGGTACGTACTGGCTCCTTTCTAAAGCTCCTGCTTTAGGGAAATTTTTAAAAGGCGGTACCATGAATTATGTCTGGGATTTCCTTCAGCAGATTTCGGGGTTACAGCGCAGTTTGTTGCATTCAACAAGTGCTTTTAAGGCAACTGCTGTGTCCTAGGACCCTGCTAGGTGATGTGGGAAAGAAATGTAGAAATGTAGAAGAGAAACTGGATACAACCCCTGCCCTAGAGGAACTGACCCACCTATTGAGGAGACAAGACATAGAAATGAAACACATCTGGGAGAAGATGGAAGACCGATGTCAGGAAAAGTACCAGGGTTTCATTGCCCCAGAAGTGCATTTATTGTGATGTTGGAAGCCGTGGTTGCCGCTCTTGGTAGGAGCTCTGTGCCAGGTCTGGGTGACTCAAGGAGAGTGCATCCTGGAGACAAGCCCCCAGGGGAACCTGCTGGTTTGTACAGGGAGCATCCACATAGGTAGTCATGATCTGAGCTGCTTCACTGTGAGTTCATCCCTGTCACGGCATTTGGATGCTGAGTTATATGACAGTGGCTTCTCTGGGATCCCCACCCAGGAACTCATGTTGGGGGGACTGTCAGCTGGCTGCCTGGCCCAGAAGAAGTCAAGTACTGCAGTATTCTTGTCCCTATCTGCAAAGGATGGGTCCTGACACCGGGACCCATGCTTGTGTAACATGAGGGGTGGAATGCAGGAGCCCTTGGCTCAAGCCCTGAATATATTATGTAGTGGTTGCATATCATCGGCTGCAGAAAGAAATTGGAGTCAGCATCCTTCATGTTATTGACACTTCTGTGGTGTCCACCTGCTCTTTGGCATTCCTCTTTGTCCTGCCTGATCTCGCTTTCTGGACTCACCTATTCTTTTCCATCTCCTAATCCCCTAAGACTATTCTTCTGATTCTCTGACCTGCTTCTGTGATGCCATGAAATGCTGTATATTGCTCCCACATCTAGATCTCTGCCCTGTCCTCGCTCCTAAACCCAGGTCCCTGACATCTCCGTGAACATTCTGCAGACTCATGAGGTCAGCCTTGGCTTCTGCCTCATACGTTGCAGTTAAAGGCATCACCTTTGCTGGTACCTCTGTGCCTCCCATAATGGGCTGCTGTCACCCCTCTCAGATGCTGCTGGAATCAGTCCTCATTTCCACTCTCACTGCTATTTCCCTCACTCTCAACCTCACTTACTTTTATCTCAATCATAATTTCAGAATGTTCAAAATTATGTATTTGTTTAGCGATAGAACCCCATTTTTCCTGAGCCTCAAACAACCTTCCTTCTAGCTCTAACAAAGACTATTTGAATGGAGAAGCTGCTCTGGTTGTGGTTGGTTTGTGGGTTCTTTCTATCTCTGCCAGAGAAGCCCTGCCCATCTCTTTCTCTACTCCTGCCCCACTGTGGTCCCAAGGCCCCCTGACACCAGGACCTCAAAGAGCATGGCTTGAAAATTACCCCTACCCCCGTGTGACAGTTGATTGTGACACCCTCCTAAGCCATCTTCTTGTTCTTCCTTCACCCAGAGTTATTTCTCTAAAATCCAGACCTGACATGGCTCAAAAGCCTGTTGATAATGTTGCAGTTCACAGAATGAAGCTTGGACGCCAGCACTACTTTTAGTCTGACCCCATATTACCTTTTCTTCTTCATGTCCCTCCATTTTCCTTGCTCCACGCACCACATGCTGCAGTCATGCAGGAATACTTCGATTCCCCAATCCTGTGGGCTCCCAAAGCCCCTATATATTGCTTTGACTTGAGCTGATCTTTCTGCGAGGAATAACTCTGCCCTTGTTTCTCTTCCTGCTGGAAGCCTGTTCAGTCCTCAGGTCTGGTTAGTTCTTGAACTTCCTTCTCATCATACATAACTTATCACTTCTTCCAGTTTGTTCCTACAACAATCTGTGCATGCTTTTTTTTTTTTTTTTTTTTAAATGTACTGATCTCATTGCATTATACTTATGTTAAGGGCAGAGACAATGTCCCATTTATCTTCATGTCCCCATGGCACCCAGCGCAGGACTCAGTATACAGCAGGCATTTATTCCACATTTGTTGAATAAACAAACAATGGAACGAATGAAATGAATGAATTTAACATGCTCATTAAAGTTCACATGGGCAGCGCCCAAAGGCATCGTTTTCCTCCTCTTTCACTGGTTCCTCATTCTCAGGAAGAGTTAGGCTGTGGGGCTGCCTGTGTTCTAGCTTTTATGGTATCAATGAGTAAAAGCAGTGTGGTTCTGAGCATAGTGCGCTTGAGCTGTGTCTGATTTCCCATCATCTGCACGTTTCCCCATAGGGCCAGGTACTTTGTTCAGTCCCAGACCCTAAACTTCTGACCTGCAGCCACAGGGATTTCAGGAGCACTGTTCAACATTCAGTCTCTAAACCCCATGCTGATTCAGGTAGCTGGCCTCCTGCTAGCCTTGGTTCCAAGGTTCTGTCCCCACCTTTTGCCCTAGTTTTTGTAAGTGGGCCCTGGTTGTTGTCCCAATTTATTTTATTTTATTTTATTTTATTTTATTTTATTTGTGAGCTGGAGTTTTGCTCTGGTCACCCAGACTGCAGTGCAATGGCGCGATCTCAGCTCACTGCAACCTCTGCCTCGCCAGTTCAATCGATTCTCCTGCCTCAGCCTCTCACGTAGCTGGGATTACAGGCATGTGTCACCACACCTCGCTAATTTTTGTATTTTTAGTAGAGATGGGGTTTTGCCATGTTGGCCATGCTGGTCTTGAACTCCTGACTTCAGGTGATCCACCTGCCTCAGCCTCCCAAAATGTTGGGATCACAGGTGTGAGCCACCGCGCCTGGCCCTATCTTTCAAAATTTGAGACTGTGATTGGCAGTCTGACCTGTACATCATCACTCTAGGGCTGGAGCCCCTCCCTAGCTGGGTGGGTTCCTGCTGCTGAACCCCAATCTGGGGACTAGCACTTTGCTTCCTGTTGCAAGATTTCCTTAGTGCCAACTTCTGAGCATCCCATATTGACATCTTAACATTTTGTGTTTCCTTCCACCCCAGGCCTTTGAAGTTGCTGTTTCCTTTGCCTGCAACTCTGTTCCTGTTTTTCCACTTAAAGGTGGAAAAACCTTTAAGAAGAGGTGCTCCAGCACCTCTTCTTCGTGACGCCTACCTGACGCCTGCCTTCGTGAGGGTTTTCTCTTAGCAGCTTGCGTATGTTCTCACGGCCTCCTGAGCTCCCCCTTAATGGCACTTATCACAATTTTTATTTTATAGTCATATGATCATTCATTAATGTGTTTCCCATACTAGTGAGGTCCAAGGGCAGGGATGATGTCTGTTTTGCTCACAATTTTATTGAGCCCTGTGATTAGCATGTAGTCAGTGCTTTATACATATATTACTAGATGAAGTGAATAGCTTCGGTATGACCCTACCTGTCCTTCCCACCGAATTCCCGAATTCAACTGGGGGTTACAGAATTAACTGGGGCTGTGTGCAGGCCTGCCCCAGATGTGATGCTCTGTCACTAATCTCTGTAAGTCTACACCCAGGTACCACCTTATAAGGCATAAATCATAAAACAAATGTACAAAACGGGACTGCTGAAATTCTCACTCAACATTCTGTCTTGTTTATTGAAAGTCTTTGGGTATGCGTATTTATTACTTACTTTTCCTGGTGTAAGGAATTTTATAGCTATTATATGTCATTGTACTCCAAGTTTACTGTGCTTCCTTGAACTCAGAGCCAGTCAAACGTTCATCCCTTCCTGTTAATCGTTTTAATCACACAAGAATTCTATTCCTGGCTGGGCACAGTGACTCACCCCTATAATCACAGCACTTTGGGAGGCTGAGATGGACAGATCACTTAAGGCCAAGAGTTCAAGACCAGCCTGACCAACATGGTGAAACCCTGTCTTTACGAAAAATGCAAGAATTAGCCGGGCGTGGTGGCAGGCGCCTGTAATCCCTGCTACTCGGTAGGCTGAGGCAGGAGAATCACTTGAACCTGAGAGGTAGAGGTTGTAGTGAGCTGAGGTTGTGCCACTGCACTCCAGCCTGGGTGACAAAGCGAGACTTTGTTTCAAAGCAAAAAAAAAAAAAAAAAAGGAATTGAATTTCCTTTGTTGTCTTAGCTTCTGGGGTACTCAGTGCTGAATTTCATATTTAACTGTAGTAATTACCTCTGCTCAGGTACATCTGTTCCCTGTTCTTTTTAAAGTGATTTATTTGTATTTTTGGTTTGTTTTTACTGCTCTATTGTGTTATGCTTAATTATTAAAGACAATTCAGACCTTTTTGACAATATATTTGTATATTACATTGTATAAGTTTTAGTTGATATTGTATGTTGCATGCATATGATATATAACATTATATATATTATAAAACCCCAATCTTTCCTTTTTTTATACAACAGTGATAGCAATCCGTATTCCTCATTTGGAGCAACTCTGGCGAGGGATGATGAGAAGAATTTATGGAGTATGCCCCATGATGTGTCCCACACAGAGGCAGATGACGACAGAACCCTGTACAATTTGATAGTCATTCGTAATCAGCAGGCCAAAGACTCAGAGGTGAGCACCATTTGAAGTCTTGCTGTGTGCAGATGATGCTGTATAGCAAAAAATAGTAATTCCTGAGAAGATCAGCTTGAAATAACAAAAAGAATGAAGGATGAGATGTTTGAAATGAAGGGCAGGTATTTCAGCAGCATATATTATCACTGGTTGCTAATTACAGCTAGTCTTGATTGACCTGCTTGATACAGAGATAAGGCTCATTTCTAATTCCTACCTTAATGGCACAAGGCATTAAGGCAATGCTGTTGAAGTGTGTGAAGATAGTTGGCCATCTTAAATGGCTTACCCGCGTCCATCTCTAATCTTTCCAGTTGTTTACTAAGCCACAGTTACTTGATTCAGACTGAAGTTTGAAGGGTACTTTGCCTTATCACTAATTTTGAATTAGTGAAGCCTGAATTAGTTTTTTTCCCCTTGTTTAAAGATCCTTAAATTGTGCATATTCATCAGACAGCAGTGGATCCACTATATATTCGAGATTCTTTTTGTGATAAGGCTTGAACCCTCGCAATAACTCTAAATCCAAAGTGATTGATTTAAGAACACTAGAATATTAAAAAGGAGAGAACTCTGTAAGTTAAGGGAAAACAGCAAAGAGGATCGTAGTCTTTTTCTCCTTTCTTTCAAAAGTCATGTTTGAGTTAGGTTTTCCGACTTCTGTGTTCATCAGCTAGCTCTGAGGAGGAAGCTGTACTAAATATACACTCCATGCTTCTTTGTATAGAGGAATTGAGCAGGGTAGGGAACCTTATAGTTGGGTTTAGTATGTATGTTGGCAGCGGGGGGCGGGTGGAGGTGCTGTGGAGCTCGTCTTTTCCTTATCGAGGTTTCTTTATTTTTGGTAATTAATTGCTATCTCCCCCGCCCCCCCAAAAAAAACATATTTTAGCAGGAGGTGATAAACTTTTAGAAGTGCCATGTGTCCCAGTCCTTTTATTCTGATGTGACTTGGATGCTTTGGAGGGGTTAGAGATGCGGATCACAGGGCCGGGGAAGGGCCTGCAGTTGCTTCTGCTCTCGAGGCCTAGGGAAGGGTGGACTGGGACTCCTTCAGTGGCTGCTGTGTAGCATCCCACTAGTGACTGAGCACCCACTACCTCTGGCTGCCCATGTCCCCAGCAAAATCCCCTCTATGATGGGCAATGCTGAAGGCAAGTCATAAAGCCTGCTGCTGCCAAGAACTGCATTCCCTGGCTGCCCTTTCTGAGCGTATAATTGGGAATGTGTGGCCTTGTTTTCTCTTTAGTGGAAAGAACAAATTCTTACACTCCTGTATTACATTAACCAGCTAAAGTTTCCGCTGGTGAAAACAGTCAGTTCTTCTCTTTTCTTCCTCTTCTTCCCTGACTCTGCCCAAAGCAGTAAGAGCAATATGGAAATAATGTATAGTGTCTCTCTCCCTTTCTCTCTTTCTGTCTCTCTCACCAGGCCCCATGCAAATGTGCAAGGGGCTGGAAAAGGTATTTGGCCTGAATTTGGCAGCTCTCCCTGGAGGAGCTCCCACCTTTCTGCTCACTTATCTTTACTTTTCAAAAGACAGCAGAGGCAACATGAACTACAAAGCCCCTCGAAAAGCACAGCTTCTAAAGTGGCCCATTGCGTCTTCTTTGTGTGATCCTTGGGCCTGGTGTGATGGGTCTTCCAGAAGCCACCGCCTTCGCCTCCACCTCCTCCTCCTCCTCCTTCTTCCTCTTCCTCTCCTTCTTCCTCTTCTCCCTCTTTTTTTTTAAAATTATACTTTAAGTTCTGGTATACATGTGCAGAACGTGCAGGTTTGTTACATAGGTATACACGTGCCATGGTGGTTTACTCACCCATCAATTGTGATTGCTCAATCACAGACCCAGGTCTGTGATGTTCCTCTCCCTGTGTCCCTGTGTTCTCATAGTTCAGCTCCCACTTATGAGTGAGAACATGTGGCGTTTGGTTTTCTGTTCCTGTGTTAGTTTGCTGAGAATGATGATTTCCATCATTCTCGAGAGCAGAGGCAACTGAGAATGATGGAAACCATCATTCATCCATGTCCCTGCAAAGGACATGAACTCATTCATTTTTATGGCTGCATAGTATTCCATGGTGTATATGTGCCACATTTTCTTTATGCAGTCTATCATTGATGGGCATTTCAGTTGGTTCCAAGTCTTTGCTTTTGTGAACAGTGCTGCATTAAACATACGTGTGCATTTGAGATACGTTCCATCAATACCTAGTTTATTGAGAGTTTTTAGCATGAAACGGTGTTAAATGTTATCAAAGGCCTTTTCTGCATCTATTGAGATAATCATGTGGTTTTTGTCATTGGTTCTGTTTATGTGATGGATTACGTTTATTGATTTGCATGTGTTGAATCAGCCTTGCATCCCAGGGATGAAACTGACTTGATTGTGGTGAATAAGCTTTTTGATGTGCTGCTGGATTTGGTTTGCCAGTATTTTATTGAGGATTTTCACATTGATGTTCATCAGGGATATTGGCCTGAACTTTTCTTTTTTTGTTGTGTCTCTGCCAGGTTTTGGTATCAGGATGATGCTCGCCTCATAAAATGAGTTAGGGAGGATTCCCTCTTTTTCTATTGAGTTGGAAAGTTTCAGAAGGAATGGTACCAGCTCCTCTTTGTACCCTCTGGTAGAATTTGGCTGTGAATCTGTCTGGTCCTGGGCTTTTTTTGGTTGTAGGCTATTAATTACTGCCTCAATTTCAGAACTTGTTATTGGTCTATTCAGGGATCACTTCTTCCTGATTTAGTCTTGGGAGGGTGGTGTGGTCCCGGAATTATTCCATTTCTTCTAGATTTTCTAGTTTATTTGCATAGAGGTGTTCATAGTATTCTCTGATGGGTGGTTTGTATTTTTGTGGGATCAGTGGTGATCTCAGCTTTATCATTTTTTATTGTGTCTATTTGATTCTTCTCTTTTTCTTCTTTATTAGTCTGGCTAGCGGTCTTACTATTTGTTAATCTTTTCAACAAAAAACCAGCTCCTGGATTCATGGATTTTTTTTGAAGGTTTTTTCGTGTCTTACCTTCCCTTCAGTTCTGCTCTGATCTTAGTTATTTCTTGTCTTCTGCTAGCTTTTGAATTTGTTTGCTCTTGCTTCTCTAGTTTTTTAATTGTGAGGTTAGGGTGTCAATTTTAGGTCTTTCCTGCTTTCTCCTAGGCACATTTAGTGCTATAAATTTCCCTCTAAACACTGCTTTAGCTGAGTCCCAGAGATTCCGGTACGTTGTGTCTTTGTTTTCATTGGTTTCAAAGAACTTATTTGTCTCTGCCTTAATTTTGTTATTTACCCAGTAGTCATTAAAGAGCAGGTTGTTCAGTTTCCATGTAGTTGTGTGATTTTGAGTGAGTTTACTAATCCTGAGTTCTAATTCGATTGCACTGTGGTCTGAGAGACTGTTACTATTTCTGTTCATTTGAATTTGCTGAGGAGTGTTTTACTTCCGAGTATGTGGTCAGTTTTAGAATAAGTGTGATGTAGTGCTGATAAGAATGTATATTCTGTTGATTTGGGGTGGAGAGTTCTGTAGATATCTATTAGGTCTGCTTGCTCCAGAGCTGAGTTCAAGTCCTGGATATCCTTGTTAATTTTCTGTCTTGTTGATCTGTCTAATATTGACAGTGGGGTGTTAAAGTCTCCCATTATTGTGTGAAAATCTAAGTCTCTATGTATGTCTCTAGGCACTTGCTTTATGAATCTGGGTGCTCCTGTATTGGGTGCACATATATTTAGGATGGTTAGCTCTTCTTGTTGCATTGACCCCTTTACCATTGTGTAATGCCCTTCCTTGTCTTTTTTGATCTTTTTTCCTTTAAAGTTCGTTTTGTCAGAGACAAGGTTTGCAATCCCTGCTTTTTTTTTGCTTTTCATTTGCTTTGTAGATCTTCCTCCATCCCTTTATTTTGAGCCTATATGTGTCTTTGCACATAAGATGGGTCTCCTGAATATAGCACACTGATGGGTCTTGACTCTTTATCCAATTTGCCAGTCCGTGTTTTTTAATTGGGGCATTTAGCCTATTTACATTTAAGGTTAATATTGCTTTCTGTGAATTTGATCCTGTTATTATGATGCTAGCTGGCATTTTGCCTGTTAGTCGATGCAGTTTCTTCGTAGTGTTGATGGTCTTTACAATTTGTTATGTTTTTGCAGTGACTGGTATCGATTTTTCCTTTCCATATTTAGTGCTTCCTTCAGGAGCTCTTGTAAGGCAGCCCTGGTGGTGACAAAATCTCAGCATTTGCTTGTCTGTAAAGGATTGTATTTCTCCTTCACTTATGAAGCTTATTTTGGCTGGATATGAAATTCTGGGTTGAAAATTCTTTTCTTTCAGAATGTTGAATATTGGCCCCCACTCTCTTCTGGCTTGTGGGGTTTCTGCAGAGAGATCTGCTGTTGGTCTGATGGGCTTCCCTTGGTGGGTAACCCGACCTTTCTCTCTGGCTGCCCTTAACATTTTTTTCTTCATTTCCACCTTGGTAAATCTTACAATTACGTGTCTTGGGGTTGCTCTTCTCGTGGAATTTCTTTGTGGTGTTCTCTGTATTTCCTGAATCTGAATGTTGGCCTGTCTTGCTAGGTTGGAGAAGTTCTCCTGGATAATATCCTGCAGAGTGTTTTCCAACTTGGTTCCATTCTCCCTGTCACTTTCAGGTACACTAGTCAAACGTATATTTGGTCTTTTCGCATAGTGCCATATTTCTTGGAGGTTTTCTTTATTCCTTTTCCTTCTTTTTTCTCTAATCTTGTCTTCATGCTTTATTTCATTTAGTTGATCTTCAATCTCTGATATCCTTTATTTTGCTTGATCGATTTGGCTATTGATACTTGTGTATGCTTCATGAAGTTCTTGTTCTGTGTTTTTCAGCTCCATCAGGTCATTTATGTTCTTCGCTAAACTGGTTACTCTAGTTAGCAATTCCTGTATCCTTTTTTCAGGTTCTTAGCTTCCTTGCATTGGGTTAGAACATGCTTCTTTAGGTCGGAAAAGTTTGTTA